GTCTTTTCCTGGTGTCACGGGCAGTTCGGGTTTCTCTGGCGTTCCCAGAGGGGTCATCTGTTCTGGTATCTCTAGTATGTCTTCCATGTTAGATGTGGATGAACTGAATTTTGCTTGCTAGCACCGCTCTTTAAATACCGTTTGGTTGTGGTGGGGATTCGATTTGTGTAATGACATTTTCCCCCACCCAAGGTTTTAAATCTTTTACGTGTGCCGTTATCTGCTTGCGGGTATTTCTATCGGCCAATTTCAGTTTTACTATTACCGGTGATATTACTGACGTTACTACGTATGGCCCTGAGTACTTCGGCGCTAGTTTGCTGGTGAAACCTGCACTCGCCGACGATAGATGGTGTTCCTTTTTCATGACTCGATCTCCTGGATGTGGTCGCCAGTCTCTTCGTCTTAGATCGTAATGTTTCTTTTGGTCCTCGAAAGCGTGTTCCATGTGCACTTTCGCCAGTTCTCTTAACGCTTCTAACTTGTTCAAGTTTTCTGCATACCCCTGTATATCTTGTCCACTTGTCGCCTCTGTTGTGTCTAATTCTCTTCCGAAATTAAGCAGCGCTGGTGAAAACCCTGTTGAATCGTGTCTTGACGAATTTACGGCGTAGCAGAATTCTGGTATGAATTTGTCCCAGTCTTTATGGTTATCTTCTACGTATGTGGCTATCATCGTTTTCAGTACTTTGTTCATTCGTTCCACTGGATTGCCTTGAGGTGAGTACGGCGGTGTTAGAATGTGATTTATGTTATAGGACTTTAGGAACGCCTTAAAATTGCTGCTTGTGAACTGCGCGCCGTTGTCCGAAATGATTTTCGTCGGGATGCCGAACTGCATAATTACCTTCGATCGTAAAGTGTCGATGATGGAGTTCGTAGATGCTGCTCTTATTGGCTGGGCAACGACCCATTTGGTAAACCGGTCTTGCGCGACTATTAAGAAAATGTTTCCTTTTGCAGATCTTGGGAATGGTCCCATTAAATCAACTGAGACAGTATGCCAAGGCTTTTCTACAGTGGACGGTTGCATTTTCCCGGCTGGTTGCATTTGAGACGGTTTATATTGGAGGCACTTCGTACAAGCTCTAACGTAGTCTGCGATTTGTTTAAACATCTTAGGCCAATAGTACTTTTGCGCTATTCGGCAAATTGTTTTTGCAATTCCTAAATGGCCTGCTGTGGTCGAGTCATGATTTTCCTCCAAAATATCTTTCCTTTTATATCTTGGCACGCATAACTTCCATGGGTTATTAAACTCTGGGTCGGCTAAATTACGGCTGCTCCAAATGTGTTTATATAACTTCCCGTTTGTTATTTGTAGATCCGAGAAATCGTCTGGGTTCTGGAGTACATTTCTATATAAATTATCGTACCAACTGCATGATTCCAATTCTGATGCTAATAATTCCAACTCTGGTTCTTCGCTCTGGTTTTCCTGTGGTTGTCGTGACAAAGCATCTGCTACCTTGTTGAGGATTCCCTTTCTATATATTACCTCAAAATCGTACTGTTGCAGTTCTAAACTCCACCTGGCTAATCGACCTGACGGGTTTTTAAGGTTCTTCAGCCATTTGAGGGACTGATGGTCTGATATGACCTTAAAATTGTATCCTTCTATATATGGCCTCATTTGCTTTATCCCGTATACGATGGATAGACATTCTTTTTCCGTTGTGGAATATTTTGTCTCGGCCGGTGTGAGGGTTCGACTAGCATATGCGATTACTTTATCCTGGCCGTCGTACTTCTGTGTTAGTGCGACTCCAAGTCCGCAGTTCGACGCATCTGTTTGCAGGTAAAATGTTTTTGAAAAATCGGGGCATGCTAATACTGGGGCCGATGTAAGTTTTGATTTTAGCTCTTCAAACGCGTTTTCTTGCTTATCGGTCCATTTCCATCTTATCTTCTTCTTCAGAAGCATGTTTAGCGGTCCTGCTATTGTCGAATAGTTCTCTATGAATCGGCGGTACCATGATGTTATTCCTAGAAACCGGCGGAGTTGACGCACATTTCTCGGTGCTGTAAGTCCGGTTATAGCGTTGGTTTTCTCCGGGTCAGTTTTTATTCCTTCTGCTCCAACCACATGTCCTAAGTATCTGAGTTCTGACTGGCAAAACGTGCATTTTTCAAAGTTCAGCTGTAACTTGGCTTCTTTCAGTCTTCGGAAGACTTCCTGTAGGTGATTTAAATGCTCTTGGAGCGTTTTAGATATTACTACGATATCATCCAAGTAGGCAAACGCGAATTCCATATCAGGAGGTATTACTTTGTCCAGTAGGCGTTGGAAAGTGGCTCCTGCGGAATGCAGTCCAAATGGGGTGGTTTTGAACTGAAAATGGCCTTTTCCGGGTACGCTGAATGCTGTCACTGGGCGGCTAGTTTCTTCTAGGGGTATTTGAAAATATCCCTGTTTCAAATCGAGGGTTGATATAAAATTTGCTTCCTTAAGTCTATCCAGAATTTCCGATATTCTGGGTAACGGATATGCGTCCTTATCTGATAGTTCGTTGACTTTTCTAAAGTCAATGCAAAACCTGTACGAGTTATCTTTTTTCCTAACTAGTACAATCGGTGAACTCCAACCACTTGTGGAGGGTTCGATGGTTCCTTCTTTTAACATCTTGTCTACTTCTTGGTTGATGATCTGCAGCATTGCGGGATTGTGTCGTCTATAAGGCTGTTTGACTGGATCGCATTTTGTCTTCAATTTTATTTCGTGTTCTATTAAGTTAGTGGGTCCTGTTATGTTCTCAAACTCCCTTAGTTCTTTTCTTAGAAACCTTTCTAGCTCTGTATTTTTGGTGGAGTCTTTTAAAGTATTACATGCCTCTTCTTGATGTTGTACGAATTGTTTGCTCGTATGTTTATCGAATTTAAGTTCGATAGAATGGTTCCTAAGGAATTCCACTCCTAGTAAGGCATCTTCCGTCAACCCTGGCATTACTATGAATGTTTGTCGGGTTTGTAACCTATCGATCTCGCATTCAATCGTCAACTTCTGGTTAAGCTCCATTGACGCTCCATTTGCTAGTCTTGTTCTCCCGCTGTAGCTATCTAGAGAGTCTTTGTATGTCTTAGCTATTCTATCCCCGACGTAATTTTTAGTGGTTCCTGTGTCGATGAGCGCTCTGTATGTTCTTTGCCCTATTTTCAGCGATGCGAATAGCCGAATGTCATTGCTTGTTGGCTGTGTAACGGCGAAAACGAATGGAGTCGAATCTTGCTTTACAGACTGGGACGACTCCTTGTTTCTCCAGTCTGTAGTTCGTTTCCCTGACGCCTAAAACAGCAGTCGCTACTGTAAACCCCTTCTCTGCCGCAACGCGAACAAAACTTTTTCCACGGGTTTTTGCAGTTTTTACGGATGTGACCTGGCATCTTGCATCTAAAGCATGTCGTTTTGGCATCGTACTCTGCTTGGTCCGTGCGTCTCCAGTTTCCACGGCAACTCTGATTTGATCGGTTCTTTTCGTCTTCTAAAGCTTCGTATTCTTGAGCTAAATCTTGTAATTCGGCTAAGTTTTCAAAATCTCGGCGGCGAGCATAAAGCTTATATTCTGGTAACAGATTTTTGTATATCCTTTCGAGTTCTTGGTTTCTGGAAAACGATCCTTCTCGTCTGGTTAGTGTTTGAATCTCCGTGATATATCTATCTACCGGCTCATTTTGTCTCTGTTTTCTGTTTCGGATTTGCTCCTCTAGTTGCAGCAAATATCCTCTGGGATAGAAAGCTTTTTTAAAATCTTCGCTGAAATCTGCCCATGACTTCCAATTTTTGTTATTGTTTCTGTACCATAACAAAGCGTGGTCTCCTAATAACTCTGGTAATGCTCTTAATAGATCTTGTTTATCGATCTCGTAGGCCAAGCTTAATTCGTCTATCCTCTCTAAGAATCCTATTGCATCCGAATGTTTCTTGTCGAAGTGTGTGTTCCACCTTCGTACTTGATTTAGCAATTCTGATTGCCCCATTTGTTTCGCTATTGTTAATTCTTGTAATTGTCTTCGGATGCCCGAAATTTCCTGGGCCAGTGTGTCGGATTCTGTTCCCTTGGAAGTTTTTTCTTTTTGCATTGCTCCTGTCGCTTCCTCGCGATTTTTAAAATATATCCTGAGTCGTACTCTCAATTCGTCGACGGTTCCCTTGGAATCTAAGCCGAATTTTTCGGCCTCGCTCTGCAATTCCTCTTTGCAAAGTCGGTTTATCCAGGATGTACCTGTTACTGAGTCTGTGTCCTTATCTGTCGGCATGTTACTAAATTTTTTTTTTTTTTTTTTTTTTAGTAACTTTCCAATCCTCAATTTTTCTCGGGCGCCAATTTGTAACGGGTAGCTCTTTCAGGACGACAGACTCAGTAAAACACAGGTTAAAATAAAAATATGTCTATTGATCTAATATATGTACAATATATATGAAAATAAAATAAAATAAATCCTGTGCCGTAGAAATTAACTCTGCGCTCCGTCTGGATCCCGTGATGAATGAATCCCCGGCGGACGCCTATAAAAGAAAGAAAGAAAATAATTATTAATAACAAATAAAATAGGTGTAGTCAATCGCACTCAGACGTATATTCGCTTCCGCTTCAAACCAGCGGGAGCTGCGAACACACTCGTCAACTACAAAATCGCTTATGCAGGTCCGCGATAAAGTTCAAGACACGATATCGGTAGACTTTGCTTAATTATGGACGGAGCATGAACTTCAAAGCAGAACTACCTCCGTCCGGGTGGGCTCGCCAGTTCAGGACACTGGCGAAGAGAGGAGCCTAAGGCGCTAAGCTAAAGACTGAATAAATGCCGCTATTCATATGCCTTAAATAGTTGCTCTGAACCCCACTCACATCGTGCTAAGGAGGTGGAAGCGCCAACGCTGACACTCCTACGGTTCAAGCTGTTGAACGGTGATGACATCGTTACATAAGGTAAATTTAAATGCAAAATTTTCAGCATTAAGCATTAAAATTATTATTATTAATAATAAACCAAATTTTTAGATGCAGGTTCCATGGAAAGCTATTTTGACTAATCGACCTTTCTGGGTTATTTGGATAAACGCAGTAGCCCAGTTTTGGTGTTGGCAAACACTTCTAGCAGAAATGCCTACGTATATGAACAAAATTCTGAAGTATGATATAAAATCCGTAAGTATCTAAATTAAAAAATGATTAGATATTAAATTCTATCTACTTTAATATATAAATAAAGTGAACAACAATAAGTACTTAAATTACCTTGACATCAGTATTATCTTCTTCTTATTGTGCAGGTTGGCGATCCAAATGGCAAATTTTGCCATTTGGATCGCCAAATTGCCATTTGGCAGCTTTGAAATCTGCTGCCGAAAGATCACTGCGGACGAGCGGCCAAACCATCTCCTCAGGTCTTTCAACCTGCTCTTTACATTCTAATATGATACGGAGTAATTTATATCTTTTACCTGTCAACATATGATCCAAATATTGTATTTTTCTTCCTTGGATCATGCTTAGTAATTCTTTTTGTTTACTCATAAGCTGAGGTACCTCATAGTTGGTAACTTTTGTTAATCAAGAAATTCTCAGCATCCTTTGTATATATATATATATATATATATATATATATATATATATATATATATATATATATATATATATATATATATATAAAAATAGATCTGAAAGGCATCTATTATTTTTTCTGTTTCAGAATGCATTGTTCAAATTTCACAGCCATACAGCAAGAGAAAATGTAATATGCGATCATTTGAATTCTGAGCTCTTGACTAAGGCCTGATCATGTAAAAAATATTTTTTCATGTTCATGAGTGTTTTCATCACTTGTTCGATTATTGATAGGATTTCTTTTTTGGGTTCAGCAGACTACTGATATTTGCTCCCAAACATTTTATGGAAATTATTTGTTTGATTATTTCTTTTGGACTAAAAATGTAGGTTTATTAGGTCGTAATTTTTCATCTGAGGTTGATAAATTCCTGAAGAAAAACCTAGTTACTTGCAGATATATCAAATAATCATATCTTTACTACTGGTAATAATACTATATACGAGGTACTAAAGGTACCATACGAGCGAAAGGATCTCTAAAGCTAAACATTTTAGAAAATTGGATTACCCTGATTCAAGAGGAAATTACCTTACTGTAATTCCCAATATAGCCATTAAAAAGATTAAATTATATTAAATAACAAAGACCAAAGACTCCTAGTAGATGACCTAGTTAAGAGCAGTTAAGTTGTACATAGAAAAAATACTATAAACAATTTAAAGTGAAACAAAGTACGAACCTGGAAGGCCTATTGGCAATTCGTCCCATAAAGAATTCAGAAAAACATGAAAAAATAAGATTAAATGTTTTAGGGGTTTATGAATTGAGATAACCTGGGTTAGGACATAAACATCAAAATTTACCATGCTGCTAATGATGACCCATTTTACCGTAATGCTGTAGCTTTTATATTAGCTAGTAAATGTAGAAAAGTAGTAGAGTTTCATATCTTTCTTCTTCTTCAGGTGCCATATCAGAATTATCCGACGTTGGCGATCACCACTGCAAAGGCTTCTCGACCTTATGGAATAATTGTCCTGCATTTCATATGATGATATCACACCTGCTTTCTTCCTATACATCTACGGCCTTTTATTTTGCCTTTTAGGATCAGTTATAGTATTCTATATCGATTTAAGCTCACTATGTGTTCCAGAGAAGACATTTTCCGGTGTTAAACAATCTTTAGCATTTTTTTTATCTTTATTGACCCTCCTTAGCACTTCCCATTAGTTTTTTTTGCTGTCCAAGGTATCTTTAGCACCAGTCTATGAATCCATGTTTGATGTTTATACTTAATACTTTAAGGATCCCCACTTCTGCTCCACACAAAGCTACAGACCAAATATATGTATGATAATAGTGAAAATTCTGAAAATAAGCCAAGGACATTTTATAGAAGAAATAAAACAACTGCTGAAACTAACAAAAAGAAATGTTGTTGTAATGATGTTGCAATAAACTATAAACTGCTTCACGAAGTTATAGCAATTCTATGAAGAAATTAATTGAGCAATGATGGCAAACAAAGCAGAGTATATAATCTTAATGAGCAATTTTAATTCAAAATAGGGAAACCCATATCTATTTATTATAGTAATGGACAAAATAATACAAGCAGTACTTCAAAGTGATAGAATAGCGAACAGCGAGATACAAATAATAGGCTATGCAGATATTGCTGCATTAGTCGCCAAGTCCATGAACTCCAAAAAATAACGCACATTTCCAATGCAACAAGTAAAAATAAAGCAGAAAAAAAAATGATAATCTTAGCTAAAAACCAAATATATGACACAAACATCGAAATACCCACTATGATGCAAAATAGAAATCGACAAAAAACTAATAAGGCAGCAAGACAGTTAAAATATCTGGGAATAGATATATCTGGGCAAATAAACCGGCTGGATCTCTTAAAGATACAGTTTGAAGAAACAAGCACTTGAGACAAGACAGAAAAGGAAGGAGCTATAAAACAGAAATTAGACCTGTAATAACATGAACGGTGGAGACAAGACCCGAAACATTCCAAACAAAACGACTACTAGAAACGACAGAGGTCAGATTACTTCGCAGAATATCAAGATAAGTCAACTGGGTAGAGGGAGAAGCATAAGAAGGGTATTTAATATGGAAGACATAAATACATAGATAGGGTAGTAAGAATCTTCTTCTTACGGTGTCTGTCCTTTCCGGATCTTAACGAACAGCATGGCTATCCTTGCAGCTATTCAGAAAAGTCCGGTTGTAGACGTATTGAACCACGTTCTCAGCTTTTAAAGCTAAGATGTTCTATTTCTTTCTGTCCTCTCTATTCGAATACCTTACCCTGAAGAATGATTCGCAACAAGTCATATCTCTGTACATTTCTTATAACATGACTAAGATATTCTAATTTGCGCTCTGTGATTGTATTAATAGTCTCACATTCCATGCCCATTCTACTTAGGACCTCAGCATTAGTCACACGATATACCCATACAATTCTTATTATGCTTCTGTAACGCCACACATCTCGAAGACCTTGAGCTTTCTTAAAGAAGCTTCAAAAAATATTCAGGCCTTTAATCCATATATTAACGTAGAAAATGCATAGCATATGATGATAGAGATTTTGGTACCAAGTGGTAAATCGTGACTTCTAAAAAGAGACTTTATCTTTAAACGCTGATTTTGCTTTTCCTATACAGTGTTTATTTCAATAGAGTGGTCCCATAGGCTATTTAGGTTGATACCAAGGTACAAATTACAAGGTATTAAATACCAAAAGTTGCTATTTAATATTTCGCGCTAACTGACTACCATGTACTTTTTTTAAATAAGATCAAGCCTATGTTCTTTACTTATATCTACTATGCGTGACATTATTCTTTGCAAATTGTTTAAGCTATCTGCAAAAACTACTACGTCTTCATCGTATCTATGTTGTTTAGAATCACCCCATTAATTATTACGATTTCTTGTAGTTATCGCAAGGCTTTCTCGAAGATAATATGTATTAAGACTTTTGCAACTTAACATTTATTTGAAAACGACTATTACAACAAGCCGGGATACATCCTATCTGTATCTGTAGAGTAGGGAGAGCGAGTTAAGTTTCACAGCACTTAGGCTACAATTGACCCATTGTGCATCCTCCCAGGGAGCTGTCGCCCCTGTCATTTCTAGGAAGGTGGACAAGTCACCAGGAGGCATCTCTCTTATGTGGGCAGGTGTGGGCCAGGACTCGCCGAACGCGTACTCTCGTATTAACGATAACTCCAGGCATTCACATAGGACATGCTCTACAGTTTCGTTTTCTCGTTCACACTTTTTACATAGAGGTGAGTCTGCTAGGCCCAGTGTGTGGAGATGTTTGCTTAGTTGACAATGACCAGTTAAAAAACCAACTGTCAAGCGTAGGTTTTTCCTGGTCATTCCCAAGTACTTCTTTGATGCTGACTCTTCAAGGTTACTTAGTGTTACCCTGGCAAGTTTACATCCTTGACTTTCTTTCCCTCTTTTTACGGTTTGCGTATGGGAGTGACATTTGATAATTTCCGCGATTGTTGTAGTTGACCAACCAAAAAGATCTCCAGGTCCTAAGAGTCTTAGGGCTGCCGCCTTTTTAGCTAATTGGTCGGCAATGCGGTTGCCTTTATTCCTATTGTGTCCTTTAACCCACCTCAGGATGATGGTATTACCATCTGAAGCCTAAGTTAGTGATTCGTGACACTCCATTACTAACTCTGATGTGACACGTGGTTTATTCAAGGTTAGTAGCGCTTGTCTGCTATATGTGCAGATCAATATAGTTTTCCCTGCTATACTTTTTTGGGTTATCTCTTTTGCGGCTATGGAGATACCAGCCAGTTCTGTCTAAACTACGCTGGCATCTTTGCCCATGCCCCACTTTATTCTTAAGTTCAGTGATCTGGAGTATATCCCGCATCCTAAGCCTTCGTTTATTTTAGAGCCATCGGTGTATATGCAATAGGCATTTGTCACGTTTTTCTCCCTATACTCTCTTGTTTCGATTTTGTAGGGTTTGTTAAAGACGAACTTTGGTTCAATTGAATCGCAGCCTGCCTGTAGCGGTGGTAGCGCATCCAGCTCTCCCCGCAAGAAATGAGTTCTCAATTGACAAATTCCTACATCAAGGTTTGCACCAGCTGAGCGCAGTGGCATCATTGTCACTAGCGCCACCTCTTTGACATATATATCTAGAGGCGTAATGCCAATGATCAACTCCATTGCAGCAGTTGGTGTTGTTTTCATGGCACCTGTTATATTTATGCAAGCCATCCGCTGAATATGGTTTAGTTTGTTTATCGCTGTTGCTTGTAGCACTTATGGTACCCAAGCAATAGCTCCGTAAGTTAGCATTGGCCTAATGACAGCAGTGTAGATCCAGGCGATCACCTTGGGCGAAAGGCCGCAGATGTGTCCAACTGTTCGTCGACACTGCTTATAGGCAATATATGCTCTGTTAGCTCTAACAACTAAGTATGAATTTCATGTTAACTTCTTGTCAAGGGTAATACCAAGGTACTTCAACTCGTCAGAAAAATTTAGACTGTAGTTTAGAATCCTTGGTAGTATTAAGCCCTTTTTCTGGTAAAGAGGACCATCTCTGTTTTCTTAGGATTTATAGATAGTGAGTGTTCCTTGCACCATATTTCTATTAGTCGGAGAGCAACTTGTAATCCCCCACGTAGTGTGTTCTCAAACTTACCGCTTTGCAGGACAGCAATATCGTCTGCATAGGCAATTGTGTAGAAACCATTGCTGCCGAGTTGGTCAACCAGGGTATCTAGAACTATGTTCCAGAGGAGTGGTGATAGCACCCCTCCCTGTGGACATCTCCTCGTAACCATGCCTCTGACAGAAACGTCTTCTACATTTATGCTTATTGCTCTATTGGAGAGCATACTGAATATCCATTCGCTTATGACAAGGGGAATATTCGTGACGTTTAGCTGATGGGTGATGGTTGGGAATGTGGTTTTATTAAACGCTCCCTCAATGTCTATGAATACGCCTAGGGTGGATTCTTTATTATTCAGCGATCTTTCAATTCTTTCCACTACATGATGCAGTGCAGAATCGGTAGATCTCCTGATTTGGGTGAAGTGGATTATGGACTAGAACTTCATCCTTTATGTACCTCTCGCATAGCCTTTCCATCGTTTTCAACAGAAAATATGTTAGGCTAATTGGTCGGAAAACCTTTGGTAGGATGTAGTCCATCCTACCTGGTTTTGGTATGAAGACCACACGTACCTCTCTCCACTTCTTAGGAATATATCTCAGAGCCAAAGAGGCTCTGAATATTTCCACGAGGTGCGGCAGAAGGATATCCAGTCCCCACCGTAGTAGGGCTAGATATATGCCGTCAGGCCCTGGTGATTTGAAAGCGGTGAAGCACAATATGACCCATTTTACGTTTTCATCATTAATCATTGTTCTGGCGAGATACCAGTCATTTATTGAGGGTATGATTTCTTCTTTCATCCAGTTTGGTGCTGTTGAGACACTAGAACCGGGAAAGTGTGTTTTCATCAGGACCTCAGCACTTTCACAAAGGTTGGAAGTTTTGTTTCTATCTTCCTTCGTTAATATACCGATATGCCGATGTGGGTCCTTTGAAAGCGCTTTTTGTAGCCTGGAAGCCTGCGGGAAATCTTCCATTTTCTCACAGAAGGTTTTCAAAGCAGCTCTTTGTCTTTGCCTGCAGAGTTTTTTAAACTCTCTGAGATTTTTAAACTCTCTAAGGTTTTTAAACTCTCTGAGATTTCATTGGTAAAAATCCCAATCCTCTTTGAGTTTGGTGCATTTTGCTCTAATAAAAGCTGTTCGTATTTTCTTCATAAGGTGTTCCAATTCAGTGCAAGAGTTGGTTTTGCGACTTTCCTGGACCATCCTTATTGGACAGGATTTTTTATAAGCATAGCTAATTTTGTTTTGGATAGATACCGTATACCTTTCCAATTCTGTATTAGTTCCTGGAGTTAAAGCATTTTCATTTCGCAGAGCATCTTCTAAGAGTCGGTTGTAGAGTTCTACATCCGTCCTCCTAGGGTCGCGTGATTTGGTAAGGCTTTTTTCCAGACCAATATTATAGGTTAGCCAGCGGTGGTCAGACATGAGGTACAGTTCGTCCCAAACCCTTCTTTCAGTGCGTCATAGTTGTTCGAATTCTCTCTAACGCATTAAGCTAGAAGTGACAGAAAAAAACGTGAGTGTCTGATTATTATACATAGAATTTAGAAAATTAGGTATCGGTCACGGGTATTCGCATATTAAAGCGAATTCTACTTACGAACGTATAATTGGTTGGAGTTTAGAATACGCTAAATAGATATCCAATCAATTATGCATATAAATATAATTTGACACAGATGATCTTGATAATGACAGTGACAGTACTTTCACAATGTCAACTGATAAAATGATAATTGCCGTTCCAGGTTAGTATTTTCAGACATTTTACCCACAGTAAAAATTAAATTTTGTATTTATTGTCATAAAAATATTTTAAATATTCCGAGATATACCGAGAATGAATATAGACTAATATTAAAATTATTAAATTAGTTTCAATTAGAAAAAGAGGCTGAGTTCTCTATTATCAGTTTCTGTCGTTCGCGAATCAGATTGTGAATTCCGGAATGATATTGAGAAAATATCTTAAACTAATACCGTTATGGATATTTATATGTATTAAAACGGTTCTTTTTAGAACCACGACATTTTCTTGAAATGTAAGATATAATTGATACCAGCCACATATCTAGTATAATCATTGATTTTAAAGAATCAGATTCTGAATGGTATTATGGATTGTTTGAAATATAATATTCATTTTTGTTATTAATAAAAAAGAAGGTAAACTTACATTCGGTATCTTGTTTTTTAACTAAACTCCATTAACACGATTTCATCTGGATACCGGAACTGGTAGATTA